CATCAGCAAATGTTGTAGTTGTAGTCCCAGAACCCCGTTTGTGATTGGTGTGCAATGAACTGATCAGGTGTGTCCTTGATAGAAAAAAGGAAAAAAATAACATAAACTGGGCTGATTTATCAGTGCGATGCTCCGCAATTCAGTTGACAAACTAATCAAATGTTGTATTTAGGCGCTTCAGTGTAATATCTGCTTGAAGTGAACTTCTAGAAGGGGAGCTTTTCAATATTTTGGTAGTATAAGTCAAACTACCAAAGTATGGCAGTCAAAAGGTACTTAGAGTATAACACAACAGTATTTACGATTTTCAGGTATTATAAGAGTATTCTGCACGTATTTTTGATTGCTCCATTTTTTTAGGGTTGGAGTATATTTTGCATGAATTAAATAAATATTTCAAGAAATATACGTGAAAGGTATTTTGTGCCTATTAATTTAGTATTTACATATTTCAAAACGCATTAAGGGAACTTCAAATGTAGTTTAAGTAAAGGTATTTTAAAATGATTTTTAGAAGTATATTTTAGTACTAAGTAAAAAAAAAGAAGTTTATATTTTCGGTCTATTTTTCGTGTACTTAAAATTATGAACTGTATTTCAAATACACTCAAATTAGAATGTGGTATATTTCAAACGTATTAGTTTTCGCTAAGGGAGGACGAGCGCTGACTAACAACTGAAAGGTTTATTATAAGGAAACCACGAAGAAAACCTACAACAACACGACTCTAATCAATATGGAAGTGCGCATGCGCCTCACAGAATTGGGTGCTGTATCTTACACAATTCTATATGCGTCATCCCCGATCTAAATATTCGACCTCACTGCCCAGCAAATTCAAGGAAGCCTGACTCAGGCAGGCTGGCCCCTCCTTCATTATTTTATGAGCTTCGACAATCTCTCGAGCTTTTTGGTCCCTGTGTTTATACAACACAATGGCCCTGTATAGTAATGGTGTGAAGGCGCTGTCCCTGCAGTATAACGCCAAGTAGGAGCTTGCTGTTCCTGTTAAAAAAACTACGGTGTTCCCGCAGGCGAATGTTGAGGCACCCCCTCGTCTGTCCGATGTATACCTTCCCGCACGTGAGGGGTATCTGGAATACTGCACCCAAGGTCCATGGCACGAACTCAATGCGCTGTTTTATGCCGCACGGCCTCTCCCCCTGTTTGTCTTCCTTGTTCGCGCGTTTTTCTACTGCAGAGCAAATACCGCTTAACAAACAAATGTACCGTTACCGTACATTTTTTCAACAACCGGACACGTTTGAATCTAACAAAGTCCCTTCTCCGAACTTAACAACACTTGCTTCTTGATGTTTATGTCCGGAAGACAAGCAAGTGATGAAGAGGGTAGGGCTTTAGCAAAGGCAGTCTTGAAAACTGCCAGTCCTTTTTTTCGTTGTTCAGTTTTAAGGTGGGGAACAAGGCGAGAAGGAATGAAGGTTAATTTTTGTGCACATTTTTAGTGACCAATGTTCCGCATACGATGTTGCGTTCGATGTGTGGTAACCTGTTCTTTAGTTGTAACTGTAGGCCTCTTTGTGAAAGTTCAGTGATGGCTGTAGTCGATCTTAGATTTCTGGGCGTATGAGGATTCGTGGAAGCGAAGAACGTATCTTAGTTTGAGACGTCAACCTTTCTGTCTCTTCCTTGGACTGAAAGTTCTGGTTTTTGGTACTGCAGTCTCGGGCACTAAAAAAATGTATCAATGTCCATTAGCTCTCCTGCACCCAACTGTTACCAAGCGAGAACCGCACAATATAAACCCTAAGAAACAAGAAAGTTAACGAGACTGTGCTCTTTGTAATTATAATTTTTATACATCTGAGAATTTCAGTCTTAGAAATAAATTAAAAATTACCCCACAGGACGAAAAAAAAGGAACGCCGTTCCTCTTTCCGTTCCAGGAAAAATGTAACAAGTTCCCGTTCCCGTTACAGCTCCACCGATGCAAATTGAAAGAACGGCGTTCCTTCGTTCCTTTTACAAGGAACGCGTTCCAGGAACGCCGTTCCTTCGAACGCCGTTCCGTAAAACACTGGTTTGGCGTTCGTATTGATAGATGGCGTCGGCAGCAGCATTCTGAAGGTGCAGCCAACCAGCGAAAGAAAGCAGACGACACGCAGAGGAAATCCGTTGGCAGCAAAAGCAACCCCCGTTATGCAGACGCGTTTTTTTTTTACTTTAACTTTTGCTTTTATTGCCCGAATTTACTTTTAACCGAAGGTACATTTCAAAAACGATTATGTTCATTTTAATAAACCACGGTGGTCGCGAGCCATCGCGATAAGGAGGTAGCGCCATCTATTAACCCAAACGCCAAACACATCACGCTAATGGACCCCTGTCGTCTGCGTCGCTGCCCACCGTAGACCCTGGCAAGTTTTTTCGCCTCATTTTTTACAGAAAGAGAACTACGCTTCGTAATTTTACAAAAGAAAACAAAAAAAAAAACGACCTGTGAAATAAACTTTTTACGAAAATTTTACATTGGGTACGTGCAGCCGTCGAATGTTACGGTCCATTTTAGATCGAGCCTGGTGACTTGGACTACCCTATAGTTGAAGTGGGACGCTAGGATTAGGCCAGTCCCGCTACCACCCGCTACGAACTCAAGCACCGGCACAGCGTCAACAGCGCGTCGGAACACGTTTACCTGCGACAGTTATTTGCTGCAAACTTGATCGGTCGAAAGGATCTTCGTCTAAGCACCTCGGTGAACGCAGAACGACTCGCACTCATTAAAATAGACGAGCTAGACCAGCTGCTCTCGTTGATCACTCCGTAGACGCCGCCAGCCATGTTTTGTTATCGTTTGAAACCGAAGCGGAAAGGAAATATTGGGATATTTTTGAAAAGAGTAACGACTCTATCTAGATTTTTTGCTTCTCAAACAAAACTTTTGTTGATGAAAATACTATTACGGCAAGGACAGACAGTTTTACAACCAGTATTCCACACATCAATCATCTCTCCAACCAACGAGAGCCAAGAAAAGGTGCTTAGTTTCGTAAGCACCGGGCAGGTTTACCCTCCTTAAATGGCGTGTAGCGACGTAAATATCGCTGAAACAATTTTTTTTTGTGGAACATTTACAAATAAAATCATAAAATCCATAAAAAAACATATTTTTAACTTCAGCGTCCCTTCACGCATCCTTCTTCTTTAAAGAATAACTGTCCTTTATGTGCATTACACATTAAGAAAACCATCAACAGTGTGTGAGTTTTGTTGCTTGCCTCCATTTTTGATCTATACATCAACTGTCTGCACCCTTTTTCAACCCAGCCTTGGGGCTTACCGTGAAGATGAACATATATCACATCGCCTCCAGTTTAAGACTGTGCGATGTAAAGTCAAGTTTTATATTTAGACACATAGTGTTCAAGGTTAAAAGACTCACCTTTTCGTTTTCGAATAGGCCCGCAATCAAGCAATACGGCTACCATGACGCTGGCGGAAGTCAGGCCGTGGAAAAGCTTCATTGCTGCCCTTCACTAAAGAAGGGACGTGGGTTCAACCGTGGTGTTTGCACTAGAACGGAGCACTGCCATCCTCTGTTGTCTCGCTCGTCACAGCCAACACAGCGCCGTTAATGACCAACCGGATCATCATCATTGTTCGAGGGTAGGTTTGCTCAGAGGGAAAGTATGTATTTAAGCGGAGCACCTGATACAGTCCGTTGGGCACCCGAAGAAATCAATTAGCCTGGGCTTTTTTTATGCGAAATTGTTGATCACGATAAAAGCCCTAGAGCCGTGTTAGATTAACTATCGCGGACGATATGAGAGCCATTAGTGCCTTTGTGATTTATCTGTTGACCTCTGCAAGAGCTTTCGTCCAAACAAGAGATGAAACGCAAAATTTAAGCTCCATTATTCACACTTTTCAACAAATTGAGAAAAAAAAAAAACGCCCATGGATAACGCGAAAAATGTTTATAAGTACTCGGGGATACATTGTTATCAGTTGCCAAGTCCTCAGCAGACCGATGGCTTCTCTAGGTCTGGTTCTGAGCATGTGCAACTTGGAGAAGCTTGTGGGTGTTAGGCACTAGTTCCACACAGGCACGTAGCCAGGATTTTTTTCCGGGGGGGGGGGGGGGGGGGGCGAAGGGGGCCCACCTATGACAAAATGATGTATGGGGTGCAGGGGGGAGAGGAGGCCCCAGCACAATGGACGATATCGTGGGGGGGGGGGGGAGCCCGGGCAATCATGCACCCCCCCTGGCTATGTGTCTGGTTCCACATCTGATTTATTTGAGTGAGGGGTGTAGAGATGAAAAAAAAATTATAGGAGCAGTGAAGGGGTTACCGGATTACCCTTTTTTATTCTTCATTATTGTCGTGAAGTTGGAACTTAAAGAACACGGACGGGAGCATTTATGCTTTCAAGGTTTCTATAGGTACATGACATATGAGAGCCCAACCACCCAGAACACAATTTGAGACTTGAAATTCGTTTTCTTTCCACTCGAAAACAGCAATCGAGAACTGGCCGGTTCGAGCCGCGCTCATTTTCTTCTCATTGGCCAGGTACCGTTTTGTGTGATTTAAACACAACCACCAAAGATAATCAAAGTCGTGGGTCATCGAAGATACACAGTGAATACTAGAAACGAATAAAAAATGTCATTTCCATTTTTGTGGCTTCTAAAAGCCACAAAAAATTGCAAATACGTTGATTAAAAAAAAAGTTGTGCAGTTGCATGATTTCCGGTATCATACTCATCTATATTTTTTCTTCATCCCTATCCAGGTTCGGTTTCGGTATCCAGGAGTTGCATTTTATGACTTTATTAAAAATATACGGGACACTGTAACAAGATATTGATTGCGTAATCTTTTGACACTGAAATAAATTGCCTTACAGGAAATCGCAAAACAAATCTGGAGAGTGTCAGTGTCCCTATAAGAAAGCGCAGCGAGTTTTTTGTAAAAATTGTAGGAAAACAATTTTATTCGCAAAAGTGGTAACTTCGATTAACTTCGAAATTACGTTAGCAGATGGGATTCCTTGGACAGCAATGTGGCCAGATGAAACGGGGGTTGTGCACGTGGACGCAACTTCCATCGGGTGTGTTGACACTGCACCTAAAGGAATAAAATGAAATATTTTTTTTTTTTAAATCCCGAACCCGAATTTATATTTTAATGAATATAAGGTTAGGCTGCAAACAAGCTGGTGGTAGTTGAACAGTGTAAAAATAAACCGAGACTGCGAAAAATAAAGCACACACAAACACAGTGGCCTCTGTGTTTGCCTGTTCTTTCTCTTTCGCAGTGCTTGAGGGTTTTTAGTATATATTTTAAGTTCGCCCACTTTCTAAAGTTCTATAACGTGTGCAACGAGTGCAATGATTTCCCGGAATTTATCACGATGTCTAAAATTCTAAACGATTAGTCTGCCTACGCCAAGAAAAAGTGAAGTGCGCCTTTTGGTATTTAAATGTTGGGCTTCTATAACCCCGATATAGGACAGGCGCCGAAAAAATCACAAGAAAAAGAAAAGACGTAAACGCTGGCGCCAGTGTTGACGTCTCTTCTCGTCCTCGTGTTTTTTTGGCGCCTCTCCTCGATATTGAACAAACTGGCGCAAATTAACATCTTCTATACCCCATTGTATTTAGATACGGGCATGGATAAAATAACGTATTGTAAAGATGAGTGATAATAAACACTCCTACGAATTAAGCGTTCCTGTTAATAATGCATAAACATCCTTATTATTTATTAATGTCAATTTTGAATTTACTGTATAATATACTTATACAAATATGAGTGTACGGTGTGGCTCTGCACCAAACATAAGACACTTGACAAAAGTTAATGTTTTTTTCATAGATACCCTGTGTGCACATGTACAATTCCAACCATACATTAGTTAATTGTGCTTATGTTTAGGCTTTTATATAGAAATTTTATTAAACTTCTTGGGTTCGCCGAAATATTGTGGCTAATTCCAAGACCGACTGCAACATTTGTTTTCTGCCACGCAGTTGATTATAAAATATGTCTTTCAAATGGCAAATTATTGAACTTATTTCTCCATCATCTTTAACTACCACCTGCGTATCACAGCTCAGATATCCAGCGAAAGAGAGCTTATGAGATGTGAACTGATTAGGCATGTAATGCACTCGTTAAGGTCTTTTATATAACTAATAAATTCCCGTAGAACAGGAAATGTTTATTTCTTGAAGGAATAACACTTAACACTGCTTACGTGAAGGAATGCGAAAGCATTCATACACGCAGTGGATTCCTACAAACACAGCGCCGCGTCTTCCTATCGGACATGGCGCTCCGGCGGTGACATCACACTCCCCCACTGCGCATGTGCGGTGAAATCCGCCGGCTCCACGCCTTCCGTGACGGTGCATCCGTGTTGCTGTGCTTTTCTTTGTGTTTTCTTTTTTAGGCGCGTCCGCTTTGACCTTGCGTGCCCCGCTGACTTCCGGGACGAAGCATTTGATATGACGCGTCACAGCCAATGGAACGCGCCGCAGCCATTTTAACTTTCCGTTTACTTAGATGCCCGTTTTTGCGGTAACAGCCAACGTCGGCTGTGTTCCATGGGGCAGGTAATGCATTCGCATTAAAGGTAAACAATGTGTAAACATCTATATCCGGTATGAGAGATAAATTTAAGTAAATTGTTTATATTTTTTGCAACAAAAACGTATTTGCTAGTGCTGGCACCAGCAAATCAACGATTTTTCTTGGTAACCTGAACGTGATTATATAGAAGTCTTGCTGATGCAACGAAATTCGGGGGAAAAAAAGGTTATTTTTTTCTAGCCATTGTCACATCTTTATTGATGTTTATATTTTCGTAACGATTAACGTATTACAACACCAGCCGTCAATTTAATCAAGACATAAAAATTAGACATGCACACGCATTATAATAAATTAACAGCTACGGTTTCGCCCGATGGCTTCCTGCAAACACTGAGAATATAAATTACAAACCCTTGAACTGTAAGTGTTTTTGCCTTTACGTCGCAACGCCAGTGTTCACAAGGGTACTTAAATCTTTCAGAGCCTCCATCTTTAAGTGTTTTATTGCGGTACTTGCATGTACCTGCAGAATGAACGGTAAAAGAATGCGTTAAAACGTTAATATACATCAATGTTCACATTATCACTATTCATATACCTCAAAGTTTCGTCACATATGTAAATTTAACTAGTTCAATACAAGCTAAACAATCTCGGACAATCACAAATTTAGTCTAAATATCCTCAACAAAAAAAAAAAAAACTTCCATGGCGGAAACACTATGTTGTCGCATCCCTCGGAAGTGAGTGGTGCAGAAAAGATCCCGTGGGATGAGCCTCGTTGCGAGCAGAGAAGCGAAAGGGACAACCTTCTGTGGTGCTGCGTCTTGAATGTTCTAGTGGGAACGTTCTCGCGTTCTGCGAATTTATGAGAAGCACCCTTATAGCGGCACGGAAGGTGTAAAATCCCCATTGGCTCATTAAAAAGACGACGGTGCCAAGAAACACCAATACAATGCCGGGAATGCTTTGACGACATGGCTTCGAAGGTTTTAGAAAAACGTAAAAAAGATACCCTTTGTACCGGAGAAAATGTTGGCGTCTCCATAATAGTCAACCCAGTGAGGTAATGTTGCAGTAAAGCAAATTGGAATATTATATATCAGATGTCTCTCCAAACAACTGGTCGCGCTTTCTAAAGCTGACTTGCTCTGGCATAGTCGTTCTATTAGATGCCCCTAGAAACTCGTATTAGCATTCTAGTGTGTGTAGGTAGCGCTGTATCCGTCTCATAGCATAGCACGAAATGGCTAGGTGGCGTAAGTTACCACCCGATCCAAAGGTTTCAGCCGGATTCATCCATCCATCCACCCATCCATCCATCCAGCATTTACGGATGGACCGCCCCGCCAGTTTGATGGGCGTGGGGGCGAACCAAGGAAGTAGAAAACAGGGTGCAAAGCACAATACTGTAACACGTGGAAAAGGTTTGTTGATCTATTCTAACTCTTGAGCCTCCTTTGAAAGTTGTTTTGAAACCACCTCCTTGTTGACCCTCGTGGCTCTTAGCTTAAGCTTCGTGCGTGGTGCGTCTGCAGTCTATGATTATCGTTCCTCAGCCAATGAGATCGTGTGTTGAGCTCATAAGGATTGCGATAAAGGAATCACACTCACAAAACTGTGAAGATAATAACCTTTCAGTGACTCTAGCGGTAGCCTCTTCGATTCTGAAAAAGCTCCGTGTCGTCGCAAGAAGTCGTATGACGCTCTTCAACTCGCAGTATGGTATTGGGAGGAAAATCATGTTTTTATACTATGGGTTGCTCCCATGCAGAGTGCCCGTATCTGTCTCAAGGCAAGTATCAATGGCAAAGCAAATCAATTTTTGGTACGGCTTAGCTTTGGAAATAGGAAGTAAAGAGGTGAACTGTGAATAATTATCTGCACTATGTATAGTTAAATTACCTGCTACTATTTTCAGATGAAAGAAACAAAATATGGCAAAAATAGCATTAAGCTCTCAACCTATGCTGTTAGAATTGATCAGCCGTGATTTAATAACGTGGTTTTATAATTTCTGTATATTTTAGGTAAGTCTTTTTATTTTCGGTGTTGTTTTTACCTCCGGCCTAATTGATTTTTTGACTCGATATGTGGTCATGCATTAAAATCGGCTCCTGGGGAAGTGACAAGCGCACTCATGAAACACCCGGAGTTCGTAACTTTACATTTCACTTCCCGTCCTCACTCACATTGATTTAACACATCACTGAATAGAGAAACAAATATTTCGCATTGTTCGCAATAGGCATCGGTTTCCTTTCCCAATTACAAGTGGTTTAAGGCTAACACCAACAAAAACAATATTTTTCAACGCATAACATATCGTGGGAAATAAGAGCAAAATAAATCAAGAAAGAAAGAATGTGACTTGGGCGAGTTCTATTTACAGGAAGGAGGGAAACGTTAGAGTAGAAGTATAAAAGTTTTGTTTTATTTTTATTTTTGTTTTGGTTTAAGTTAGGGAGTGAATTTATAAAAGGAAAAAAAAGGACGAGTAGGCTTTGAACTTTGAATTTTGAACTTTGAACTTTGAACTTTGAACTTTATTTCAGCAACATTATGCCGAGGACACCGGACAAAAAGCTAACAGAAGCTAGCTTGACTGGGTCCGGTGCCCTTGCATGTACAGGGAACACAATCATATTTAAACAATCCTAAATATTTCTTACAATATTCAAATCAAACAATTTAAAATGTTCCAATAAAATTGGCTAAGTACAGAGGACGTGTCGGTTTTTACATGATTGTACCACCAGTGTTCTAAGCACCGAATAATATAGTGATTGATACCCATCACAAAAGTCTATCACTTTTTAAACCTTACGAGCGATTTTTATTTGTTGTTTTAATTTTTCTTATTTGGTTTATAGATGTGGCTGATATTTTTCGTATTCCAACTACAGATTTTCCTTCCATCTTTTACAAAAAAAAATGCATTTGGGTCCTAAAGGTACTGTAATAAATAATTAAATTAAATGATATATGAAAAATTAATTAAATAAGGAACTTTAACAATTTCAATATGATTTGAATAACTAACAATGCCACACATTAAATCGCCCGAAGAACATTTTGAAGATAATGAAAATCGTGTACTACCGTCTTCAAATGAAACTCCGTAATGGTGGCGGTGATTAGTGTCTCCCATGATTACTGACACACCTCCCAATGCGACCACGGCCAATAGAACAATTGTCCTCATTCTTGCTGCAAAAATGACTCTGCAAGTTATCGCAGTTAGTAATGTATATCACTGAAAGTCAGTGTTGTATATGATTTTAGTTCGTTAATTCTGGGTTTTGACCATGAAGTTCTTTTTTTTTGGATTTCAGCCAAAACGTACCAAATTTTTACACACACAAAAACAATCCTAAAACTCCACAACCCAGTCGACATATACAAATGTTCTTTCTTTTCTCAAGCAGCATCCGATTGGAATACACTACCAAGCCACATAGTTGATTGCAATAATGTTTCTTCCTAGACCAGCTCTCATCGTTTGTGTAACTTGCTATATGTTCGGGGTGTAACACTGTTGCTGCTTTGCTGGTAATTAGGTTTCTAATTCCATTTTGTACACACAGCAATCTTTTAAAATGCAATACTCCCAACGTGCTATTGACAGATGTGGTTGTTTAGCATTTGTGTTCAAGACCCTGGCGAAGTGTGACCACACTCTTGTTGAAATGCTTTTGTATGCCAGTTCTATTATATTCATTGTAAGGAATAATAGAAGTTTTTAGCTAAATAACAAAGAAATATATTAATTGTGCCAGCCGTCAAAAACTTGATACATCTACACGCGCAGTAAACGTTGATTTTATTATGATTGAAGCATTTGCGTATAAAAATATGCCCTAATGGAAAAAACACAAGCATCCATAGAGCCCATATAATAAAATGTCATATAAGAACCCATAGAAAAAACCTTAAAATTAAGTAGTTGTATTCTCTAATTTTCAAGCGCATCAAGACAACAAGGTTCGTAACGATGCACTTTTATCACTACGGCTTGATGTAAAACAAGGTACACTAACATAAAGAAACGTTCATGCATGCGGAGCCACAGAGCAGCTGACAGGTGGCGATCTAACATTCTTATCTGCTCTGCTCGATTGATTTTAACCAGAAGAGAACTTGAGACTCTCGCGGTCCGAAAAATTTAGAGGTAAAGATATTTCTGTAACTTTTAGGTAAAAAAAGAAACTCTTACCGAATTAGATGTTTCCTTGAACCAACAGGGTTGTGTTGTGCGAACGCCGTGGAACGATACGACTATTTATGTAGGAGAGTTGTGTGAGCTTAAAATATTCGTGAAACAGGAAGAACAAACAACAGTTATAAAAAAAAAAGATTTCGCGCGAAAGCAAATGACCTTTAATTAGTCAACAAAATCTAAAGAGAAATCATACTTGTTTTTGAGTCGAAAGAGGCAGCTGTTTCTTTGACTCAGCTGTGCGTGAACTTCAAATATTCCTCCATACACTTAATTTCGCGACTTGTGCAAACTTCAGTCCTCGTCAATTGTGGTCACCTTTGCAGTGCGTTTATTGCATGACCTTTCGAAATCGTTATTCTTTGAGTCGATGAAACGCTTTGAACTTTCCCATCTTGTTTTTTTCACAAGTCCGTGTGGGCGTTACATCCTTCTCTTTGTCCCTGTCCTTCGGCGCTTCTCTGCAGTCAAGGGTTTGCAGCCTGCGGTCCTGCGCTCGTTAAAAAGAATTATCGATTTCAATTACTAGATGAACAAATTACCGTTACCAATTACGTCTAAAATAATGTATTGCTTTACTTGGTACTGTAGAAATTGCTTGCCCATTCCTTTGCCCGAATAATTCTCAACACAAATTTAAGGTGCTATTTTTAATAATTAAATTGAAAATATGCCAATCGTATTTGCGATATCCCATCATTACGTTTCTTGTGGTATCTGTATAACAAATTTGTATACACGAATAAAAACAACGTGCTATGCTTCTTATGAGTTGTGTTCAGTGTTTTTATTGTTAGGAAAAACCGACACCAGCGGGCAGAAGTTTGCAGAGATTCGACAGCAGTCCGGGTAGCTGAATTCCCTATTCCGAAATATGTATTGGTTTGGGAATTTAGGGTCTTAATAGGCCCGAAATAGTCCAGTTAGAACCAAACTTGACCATTTTTGGCCCGAGTCTGGGTATCTTGACTCTAAATTGTCAAACAAATATCAAGGTTAATCTTCACTGCCTGGTAGTTCCCGGCACCCTTGTGCCTAATGGACAAACAAGTGCCAAGGCTAGGCTTCAGTACTAGCCGTTTATTTTTTATATGGCAACTTTGGTAGAAGATAGTTAGAAAAGCGCTCGAATTAGGCTGCACAGCTGGTTGCTCGGTTGATGCGTGGAATCTTTACCTGAAATTCGGCACTTTGGCAATTATATGACAGGCCAAAGGAAAGCCATTAAAAAGTAAAAGAACAAAATTTTAGAACTAACGCCTTGGGGCAAAATCATATTACTCCCCAACAAATGGCCAACTTGGGCCAAATTGGGCGATTATCTGGGCATATTGTTAGAACAACTGCGCGTCAAAGCTTTTCTTTTTTTTAGAATGCATACACTTATGTTTATGCCGCTCTCTGAATTTTAGTCAATTCTCACACTCAGTATTTACAAATGATAGATCCAGAAATTGAACGCAAAGGTTTCACAAACATGTCAAAAACGCGACAAAGTAAAACGAAACGAAAGGGTAACTCATTAAACTTGCGACCCCCGTGACAACGCAATATCTTAAGCTTCCGAGCAACGGATATAGAAGTAGAGCCTATCATCAGCCATTGTGCAAGCTTAGTTCTTCATACTCCAGTCAAGTCCTACACACTTGCCGAGGCAGGGAGAGGTGCGAGCCTATGAATTATCAGAAAACTAAGAGTGGGTTATGGATGGCTCGCGGAATTATATAATTATTACAATTTTGCGCGGGTCGGCACGTAACTTCGGCACCTGGGGCAGGTAGGGACCCTTGCCGATGCCTTGCCGTTCACGAAGTAGTTGACACTCGGGTATATGGACATGGTGGCTCGAATAGGTAGTCGTGACGATGAGCCCATCAGAGCTTCAATGGACTTGTGAAGCAACTGCTCTTTCTTTTCACCCAATGGATCTAGAAGGCATGTCGGTTCAGTATAAGTAAATTCTAGGTGGCACCGCAGTCAGTTATCGCACTGTATATTTTAAAGTAATCTATCACTGCGAGTCCTCAAAAACAGCAAAAAAAGGCCCAACCGGAAGCAGCATACTCACCTCGGAAGTGCGGCCATGTTTGTTTTGGTTTTGCCTCTGCACGTGCATATGTTCGCTACCTGATTCGTCATGCGGCTGTGTTATCGGCTAATGCCGACATTTCATTGGCTGCCGAGACATAATGAGATGCTTGAGACTTTCCACGCCACAACACAAATGAAAATTGTAAATTGTACTCCCAATAGAATTACTTGAAATAGTGAATTATTACAACTAATTCATTACTTCTAGCAAATTACTACCGAAATCAGCTTGCAGGGTAGTGCAAGAATATATAGCATAATATAATTTTCTAGACGAAATGTTGAATAAATGTTAAGAGCCCTAACGAACACTCTTAATGAAAGGCATTTCTCAAGTGAAGAAACTGTACACAATATAATAAATAATGGTAACTTGCTTCAAAATGAGATCCACGGGCAGTTATGCAGCCGAAAAGAAAAATACAGGTTAAAATACATAAGCAGCAGATTAAAGCCGTTTTTTTTTCTTTTGTAGGTAGCAAACCGCGTTCACATATATATATATATATATATATATATATATATATATATATATATATATCCAAGAATAGGAGGCAATCCAACAAAGAATTTAGTAGGTCAATACTTTGGTTCACATTCTTTTTTAACGTAACACGCACTCAAGACCCGGATTGTGTGGCACTTTATTTGAAATCTACCATGTTCGAGTTGGATTTTTAAGCTCGCTTGAAAGAAAAAGCGTGTGATTGTGCGGTCCTTGGGCATTAGCGGAACGGAATCTCAACTAGAAAATAACTTGAAGTAAGTGCAATTTGGGAGGGCGAAAATAAATTGCTATGCGGTAGTATTTTTCAATTCTCCATTAAATTTTGTTCTTGCTTTCGTTGTCCTTTACAATGCACTGTAAATTCTTATTTAGGTATCAAGGAAAGGTTTCCGATTAGTCTGAATTTTATTTTTACATAATCGCAGGCTTACAAATCACAGCCTGCCTCGAATTAGGAGTGCTATAGTAATCTGTGGCTAGCTCTATGAAATTAAATGGCGATATCTTCCCTCTTTTGAGATCTTTAGCGGAAGGCAATTAGCGTGTTAATTATCAGATTATTATTGAGCCATATTTTGCTGAAAGTATTACGGGTACAAACTTTATTTCGGCAATTTTGTGGACAACGTTCGAACATATGAAATCTTACATATTTATTCTTTTGCCTTCGATCATATTTTGGAATATACTTCTTATTCTGAGAAGGATAGAGCAGGGTAGTGGAAGCTTTTTCTGACATGCATTAATGGTCATTCTGCTAGTAACGTTGTGACGCCGTAAGCACAATCTTCAGCCAGAGGCTTAGAGAATTTAATTGTCTGAAGAATAAACCGAAAATGTTAATATACATTTATTGTGTTTTTTTCGACCATAACAACAGCCATAGAACAGCTTAAAAAACAAACAAAGAACACCACTCTTTTTTAAAATAAGTTCTTACATATGTAATTTCAACTTGCATAAACATGTGGTGCATAATATGATTGCTAAATGCATTACTAACATAAAAGTACACCCCCATAGAAACCTTCCATCTGTAGCTATGAAGTGATAGTTGTTTGAGGACATTATGCTAATTCCTTATGTAGCTATCGCAATGTGAATTCGAGGCAAACTTGCTGTAAGTTGCAAGTTTGTGATTTTGTAAAACAAAACTGAACATTGAATTGAAATGTTTTTGTTTAGAAATTGTTCGTAATATTTCCGGACACATAAATAAACATAAGCATTATTACCGAAGTTTTAACTTGTTTTAAAAAGAGAAAGTAGAATTGACATTTTGAAACATTCCACCTTGTGGCACCTTATATATTCCTACTCTGAAAGGCTATTATTCATCTTAAATACCTGGCCAGCTCATACTATTTTAAAGCGAATTTATAAAAAC